GGCGACACAGTGGTAGAGAGACGAAGGATGATAATACTGAGGAGATCAAGATGCCAATCTGCCTCCCTCCCCCATCTTGTTCTGTGTAATGTGTGAATTATTTAACTGTTTGAGGGTCCCTATTACCCCTGTTATTTCCATATAAACCCAGGGATTTCGAAGGGCAGAGGACACTCTAAGAAGGTTCTCTCCACAGAAATAGAACTGGACAAAGAGTGGTCAATCTCTTCACTAAAATCAGGGCAATGTCACAATCTCACTATATCAGTCTACCAAGGGGGTTTTCCTTTCTGGATCAGCGTGAGCATTCAGAGTTCTTCACATCAACTCAAGTCCATCAGCATTCCTAAGTAAATGAGATGGCAAGATGGACCTACATCTCACAGCAACTTGTGTTCAAAGGGAACTCTGGTAATTAGACTGTGAGCTGGAGATGCTAGGATTGATCCTCTGAGGACAGGATATTCATTCCTTTCCCCGCAAATATCTTGTCTTGTAATTTATGTATCTGTGCTCTAGAACATTATTTGACAAAGTTCACAGCATTAAACACTGGCTTTTTAATTAGAAATGTCAGCGGTCTGCCAAAGTGAAGCTGATCATGTCTTCGGGCTTTGAGGAGCGTAATGCGGTCAGAATCTCTGGAATAAACTCAAGACTGCCTGATTTGTGCCATTAATGGGGATTTTGTGAAAGAAGGTCAGGTGTGGAAAATATCAGAATGCTAAAAAGGCAGATTTGCATAAAATAGGATGATATAGAAAAAAAAAACACATAGCCAAAAAAAAAGCTCTTTTGAAAAAATGTTTTATTGTATTTTTGGATAAACGCTCTTTATAATTTGACTAATCCAAAAAGTAATTAATGAAATATTGGTGAATGTATCCCAATTTGGACAATAATGCATTGGATGGGAATAAAAGGCTGAGACTACTGGGAGTGGGTTAGCTAGAAGTAGGGTAACACAGTGTACCCAGACTTTCATTGCAGGTCGGATGATTAGGGGGCAGTAGAGGGACCACTATCTAGCTATCAGGAGAGCCCTGTTTTGTTTTTTGTTGAATTGTTTGAAAAACAAAGTGATATTAAGAGATCATTAATAAATCCTAAAAAATTAAATGTAAAACATTCAAAATAAGAAAAAAAAATCTAAAAATATACTTTCAAATGTGCAAAATATATTTGTCAGAGCTAAAAATAACGAAAAACAATTAGCACCAGAATTTTTTTTCTTCAATATCCTTTTTTGATGTAAACAGAATATATATTTTACTTGTGAAACACTGTATCTTGTGAAGTTGCCAGTGTATCTCAAAAGCAAAAAGCAGAGGAAGTCTCCCGTGGAGAATCCCCATCATTTAATTTGGAATTCAATTACCCTCCCTTAAAGCTCTGCTGAGGGTTAGCGCTCTTAATCAACGCGTTTCGCCCAGATCACTGGGTTTTCTCAAGGCGAGGACCCCAGGACCATACCGAGTAGACCATATATCACACTGGAAAACATCTCCTGGTATGTTGCCCATTTTTAGTGCTGACATATTTATGTTGGTCATTGCAAAATAACCAGAAGGAAAGCAATTAGATTCTCGTAGAATATATGGAGAGTTAATGTTATAGTTACATTTAAAATGTAGTATAATAATAATAATAATAAAATAAATAGTGATTAAATCAAACAAATTAGTAATTCATTTTTTCATTTTCAATTGTGCTTCAGATAGTGAACTGAAATTTAATCCAGTTCTAGAACATTGAGGATTTCTAGATTATAATATTTAATGGAGTTAATAAAGACTACATAGGTACATTCACTAATAAGAGGTTTATTCGCTAATCCATGGATTGCCGTTAAACGAGAAGGGATTTAATCATTTATTTCCAAGGTATCCAAGCAGGTTTCTCTTTTGGGTGCGTTATCTCGAAGGTGCATACACAAGTGTTGCTGCAGCTCTTTTACATTGCTTTGTATTTTCCCCCCGAGCTCTGTTGTCACTTGCTGTTTTACTTATTTATGGACTTTCTTCTACTTTACCTTACCAAGCAAGATGCTTCGTCTGCCTGATATTATCTCCTAACAGCTTGTAAATATCCTATATAACATCGCTCACATTCTCTAAGCATCCCGGCTGCCATTTTGGTTCATTTTCCATTTTTTTTCTTTTAGAGTGTAAGCTCATGGACCTTTTCACTGAGCACACTGTATGAAAATATTACTAATAACCGACCACAGGCTCGTGGACAGAGGTTTGTGTTGCTTACGTACCTACCTGGATGTTATAGTCTGCCTTTAACTCTTTTTACAAAAGGTACGAAACCTGCAGGAAATAAATGTTAATATTGAAAAGATAACATTTTTGTATGTTGTTGTTGTGCGTCGGACATGACGTGGGTTAATATATGTTTTGAGTCCCCAGTGGATGTAACCCAGGCAGCCAGCTGGCAGTGATGTGTAATGTGTTTGGAGCTCTGTCTCTGTCACCTACAGCTGTCTCTTCTGTTCAGTTTTCACACATTGCACCACGTCGGACGGGTGATTACACACATTCAGTAGGATTGCTTGGGGGCTATTCTCATATTTATTCTTAGTGGGACTTCGGTGAGCAATCAACCTTGCGTTGAAAGAGCAATCTGTCTAGTGTACATTGCCCAAAGCACACAGGTAGTCCATCATGTACCTAACCGTGGAGTTCTGACACATGGCCGTGCCACAAATCTTACATTCCTGCTCGGTGTGGAGGCATGTGAATGGCGCTCTCCACTTTCCTGTTTGTCTGGGAATTTCAATCTCTCTGTTTCTATGTTTTACTAGTGACATTCTGATTGTACAAGCTTACACTCCTGTGAATTCAGGCAGAGAGAATCCAACCGCAAAAGTAGCAGAACTCATTGCAACACAGAGTGACTAATAATTTATGGAACTAGCATGTAACTTATAACAAGAACAATGTATCTTATTTACACAGACTGATTTCTAAACACATTTATTGTAGTTTAAAGACACATTACTGGGAGTATTATTGCTGTGGAGCTCTGTTATACACTCAGTGCGAGTATTATTACTGTGGAGCTCTGTTATACGCTCAGACACATTACTGGGAGTATTATTACTGTGGAGCTCTGTTATACACTCAGACACATTACTGGGAGTATTATTGCTGCAGAGCTCTGTTATACACTCAGACACATTACTGGGAGTATTATTGCTGTGAGGCTCTGTTATACACTCAGACACATTACTGGGAGTAGTATTGCTGTGGAGCTCTGTTATACACTCAGACAATTTACTGGGAGTATTATTGCTGTGGAGCTCTGTTATACACTCGGACACATTACTGGGAGTATTATTGCTGTGGAGCTCTGTTATACACTCAGACACATTACTGGGAGTATTATTGCTGTGGAGCTCTGTTATACACAGTCACATTACTGGGAGTATTATTACTGTCACGAGCGTGGGCTATAGGCCCAGCCGAGACAGTGGGGAGAGTGTGGAAGTGACAGGGTTAATGACACCAGACCCCTGGTTACCTGTTGCTAGTCCCAGCAACCACTCAATTAACCCCTGCAATCCCTTCTACACTATCCCCCTTAGTACTACTGCCACCACCAAGACTTTTAAACCCGGGCGTCTTAGGTTACCCCACACACAGGAGAATTATAGTATCACAGTTCTACTTTTACTGATAAAACATATATAGTTAACCCCTTTTGGTAACGTGTTTACCTGAGCTTTCCTCTGGAGAGTGAAGCTCATAGAGAACAGAGACACAAGCTGATTAAGTAAACATTTAATCTGACAAAAAGGATTCACAGTGCTGAGTACAAAATACAGAAATAAATGACATACAGAAAACAAATTGCAAAACAGTACATAAAATAAAATAGGAGAAAACACAAGAAATTCCTTACATATATTTACCCCATATAGAATTCTTGTGGGAGTCTTAGATGGTATAGCTCCTAGAAGTTACTGACAAAAGAAAAATGAATAACTGACTTCCCTGGATAGTCCAACACCCTCATATATCTAAACTAGTTGTTTCTCAGTGGGCAGACCCCTGGGGGGGGGATCAGAGGGGGTTGGTCTGGCAGTCTATTGCCCACTCTATGAAATTCCTTGTGTCCAGCTCTGGTGATGGCTATCTAGATGTTTTATGGTCTAGGCCTGGTGCAAGATCAAAGACCACAATAAATGTCATCCCAAGGTTTACAAAAACAACTCTTAACATATATAAACACACATCAAACACCAACTCATGCTTTTGGCATGACACCTCCCCCTTAAGATGGTGGACAGAAAAATTCAGCCACAGGCTGATTTATCTGTCTACCATTAACCCTCTAGTTGCCGAGACAGGCCATCTGCCCTTTTTGTGCTGGGCAGTGAAATTATACTGTTGGAGGATAGGGCTCCAATGGAGCAGTTTATCATTGTTACCTGTCACCTGCAGCAGGTTGTGATCAGTCCATACCACAGCTACACCCTCAACAAACATGCCTGATTTGCCTGTTTCAATTTCCCATCGATCTCTGGTAACATCCCTTAAACCACACCCACTGCGCTCATGTAGTAGCTGTAAAGGGAAGAAACCAATGGATTTCTGCAGCACTCCCCGGTAAGCACACAAAAAAGCAGACAGAGAACACCCCCAGGATAGATGCACTGTATCAACACCCATCATCTCTTTTATTTTGCGGTCTGTCTGCTGGGCTTGTTGCACTATCAGACTCTGAAGTTTTGGTTCACAATCAGAAAGTTGCTTAGGTGTATGCGTGAGTTGTGATAAACTGACAAGGTTCCTGGTTCCTCCAACAGTATGTTTCCCTGCAGCCATCCTTCCTGGACCCACAAGCTGAGTCTGTCTGTGCCCCTCACTTTCACTCCAGGTCATCACACATACAGAACTTTGGAAACTGGCTAAGTCTGGCGCAGAGTAAAGCTCACACACCCTCTGCCCTCCCTCATAGCCTCGCTGTCCCTTCACATTTTCACCCAGTGTATCACATACATCTGCTTCAGGCACATATTGGCACATATATTCATTCAGCCCCCTCTCGCTGGAAGGCTTTTCCCATACATTTTCACAGGACACATTTGACCCACCTTGATCAGATACAGAATTTTGCACACACTCACATAATTTCTTCTCCAAGGCAGGCCATCCTCTCGCAGTCTCACATAGCCCCTCAGTCTCTGCAGCCGTGACCCACTGCTGACTTGTTACCACTGCGACTAGTGGTACACATCCCTGGCTCTCACCTTCCTCCTCTCCCTTACTCTCTGACATCCCAGCCTCACAGTATTTTGATACAGGCACATCACTACTCATCCCTATTTCACATTTGGTAGAAATCACTGGTTCAGTTACAGGTAGATATTTATCCACACCCTGCTCTCCCTCCCAGCAATCACACTTCACAATGTCTCCCAAAGTTTCACACAATACCTTAGGTGGAGCAGTCAGCCCTTCTGGCTCACAAACAGTGTCCGCTGGAGCATAGTGACAGAGCATCCTGCCCAAATCATTCCCCAACAGAACATTAACAGGGATATCCTCTGAAATCCCCACTTCCCGCAAACCTTTGCCCGCACCCCAATCAAGGTACACACGTGCCAAGGGCACAGCGGGGCATACACCCCCAATTCCTTTGATGGACATGGTTCTTCCAGGGATTATGTCCTCCGTATTCACCACTTCAGGTCGCACCAGGGTGAAGGAAGCTCCAGAATCTCTCAGTCCCATGGTCACTCGGTCACCCACAATTACACTCTGCAGGTTATCCTCTTGTTTCCCCACGGACCCACCCACAAGCAATACTGATGGTGCCCCTCCACGGACTGTTGAGGGCATATTCCTAGTGGGGCAAGTCCTGCTCAGATGACCAATCTGGTTGCATCGAAAACAACGGCGGGCATCTGACTCACTTGACATAGCCCCGGCTACGCTGGCAGTCGGCGGTGAAGTTCTCACTGCAGATCTTACAGGTGGTGATTGAACTGTAGCTTCTCTCCAGGTCGAAGTAGCAGCTGACACAAGTCCACGCCTGGATGTGGGTGCATGGATGTCGGCATAGTCATCTGCCAGTTCTGCAGGAGCCCTAGCATTTTTTGGCTTTCTTTCCAAAATCCACTCTCGTACATTAGGGCTCCGGGTCTGCAAGAACTGCTCCAGGACCAGTAAGTCATTAAGGGCTTCATAGGTAGTAGCTTGTACTCCTGTTACCCATTGCCGGAACGTGGTTTCTAATTGTGCAACATATAGAATGCAGCTGGATGATGGGCATTGCTGCATACTCCTAAACTTTTTCCTGTAAGACTCAGGAGTAAGGTTAAAAGTTTTTTGCAATGCAGATTTGATTGCCTCATAGTTGTTATCAGTCTCTGGGGGAAGGGACACAAACACATCCAAGGCTTTCCCTTTCAATTGTGGAGTTAAATATCTGCCCCACTGGTCTGAGGGTAGTTGATGCTGCCTGCATACTTTCTCAAAACTTTTTAAAAATACATCCAAATCTGTCCCTTCTTCGAGGGAAGGAAAATCATCCTTACGGAGCCTACGTGTGCTGGACTCTGATGCATTGCTGTTCAGTGAGGACTGAAGGGTAAATTGCAGTTTAGCAAGTTCCAGCTCATGTCTCCTTTGTGCCTCCCTTTCTGCCTCTCTGCAGATTCCCTTTCTGCAGCCTGCTGTTGGATCATCACATGCAGGGCCTCCTGAGGATTTGCAGCCATCAGTTGCCGAAATAAATCAGTTGAGCAAATGTCCTTAATGTTTTGAGGGGTACAACCACCAGGCATTTCAGTAAGCAACACTCCTGCAGTAGTAGGGAGCTCGGTAACCCTTTCAGTGTCCGTCTCTGGCTGGAAAATATGGCTGTCAGCCTCCACAAGGTCAGCAATAAGTTGTGCCTTATTTTTGCCAAAAGTTGGTAAATTCTTTTCTTGGCACAACAATTCCAAGGCCTCTTTTGATTGTTTGCGATAGGCCTCCATATTCACAAATAGGATAGAGAAAGAAAAACAAAAGATGGGAGGGGAGAACTGTTTTGCACTTTGTATGTATTTTAAATCAGCACTGAGCTTGGTCTTTGGAAATTACACAAAACAAGTATGCAATTTCTTTTAGTGCTAAGACCCCCTTTACAGGTAAAATCTAGCAAGCACTAAAAATCTCTAAATATATCCCACTAGCTGCCGCCAGTTTGTCACGTGCGTGGGCTATAGGCCCAGCCGAGACAGTGGGGAGAGTGTGGAAGTGACAGGGTTAATGACACCAGACCCCTGGTTACCTGTTGCTAGTCCCAGCAACCACTCAATTAACCCCTGCAATCCCTTCTACACTATCCCCCTTAGTACTACTGCCACCACCAAGACTTTTTAAACCCGGGCGTCTTAGGTTACCCCACACACAGGAGAATTATAGTATCACAGTTCTACTTTTACTGATAAAACATATATAGTTAACCCCTTTTGGTAACGTGTTTACCTTAGCTTTCCTCTGGAGAGTGAAGCTCATAGAGAACAGAGACACAAGCTGATTAAGTAAACATTTAATCTGACAAAAAGGATTCACAGTGCTGAGTACAAAATACAGAAATAAATGACATACAGAAAACAAATTGCAAAACAGTACATAAAATAAAATAGGAGAAAACACAAGAAATTCCTTACATATATTTACCCCATATAGAATTCTTGTGGGAGTCTTAGATGGTATAGCTCCTAGAAGTTACTGACAAAAGAAAAATGAATAACTGACTTCCCTGGATAGTCCAACACCCTCATATATCTAAACTAGTTGTTTCTCAGTGGGCAGACCCCTGGGGGGGATCAGAGGGGGCTGGTCTGGCAGTCTATTGCCCACTCTATGAAATTCCTTGTGTCCAGCTCTGGTGATGGCTATCTAGATGTTTTATGGTCTAGGCCTGGTGCAAGATCAAAGACCACAATAAATGTCATCCCAAGGTTTACAAAAAAACAACTCTTAACATATATAAACACACATCAAACACCAACTCATGCTTTTGGCATGACAATTACTGTGGAGCTCTGTTATACACTCAGACACATTACTGGGAGTATTATTGTTGTGGGGCTCTGTTATACACTCAGTGCGAGTATTATTACTGTGGAGCTCTGTTATACACTCAGATATATTACTGGGAGTGTGACAAGACCAATCTTGCCACGTTGCATTGGAGAAGCCTGGTTGCTCGCCTGCTGCCTTTGGACTATGGCCCCATGTTAAAAGACTTTGTTTGCCTGCAGAAAAGCTTCATTCGTGCTTTTCTGCCGGTTGTTCGGTAGATTAAATCTACCGAACAACCGCACAAATGAATAGACCACCTGGGAGCTGGAGTGTGACGGCAATTAACCTCCCTGAAGCTGCGGTTAACCGCAGCTTAATTGACGAATGCTGGGTGGCCGCCATTCGTATCCCGAACACGAGGTTGTGGCCATTTTAAACATACGAATGCACAGCGGTGTTCGACGCTTAGTTCATGGAACTAAAATCGGACACAGTTTTGCGCGAACACCACTGAAGCCGCCGACCTCCCTTCTTGTTCGGTGGAAGTACACGAACGGCAGGTGTTCGGTAGTTTTACTTGTCTATGTAATACCCCAGATAGGAATCTCATGGAGCCCATTCGCATGAAACTGACTGTACAAAGACTTTAGCTCCATGGCGATTAAACTGTATTCGTGTGGTCTGAGCGCCATTCGCTTAATAATGTGCGCTCAGACCTGAGCTATCTGGGGACATGTTAAATGTATAGTTTTAATGTAATGTGTCTCACATAGTGTATTTTAATAGTAATTCCTGTTTTAGTATCCCCACGTGCATAATGGCGATTTGCCTTTGTCTTGGGAGATAATTGAATTACTTCTCAATTATCTCCAAGGCAGAGGGGAGGAATTTGTCTATTTGTCTACTTGTCTGTCTATTGTCACAGTCTCCCATTTGGTCCCCTAGGGGAGTGTCCACCAGGTGGGAGACCTGCATAAATACTGGGCAGGTAGCCCTCATTAAACAGACCACTGCTTGACCCTCAACACGTAACCTTGTCTCGTCTTTGGGGGGGATTTACTGAATGCTGATAGAGACTGATTGCTAGGAGTGTAAGCCGCTTGGATGCTTTTCCTATTCGTCTGCTAGCAGCAATTCGTATGGTTCCTGTTCGTGTGTTTGGAGTGCTATATTGGATGCCGTTCGGGAGTTTGGAGCATTCACTTATTGGCGGTTCATGTGTTTGGTGTTCTGCAGTAGCTGTGCCTGCATCTCAGGAAAGGGGGCCGATCGCCTAAACGGTTTTTACCCCTTTTGTGCAAAACGGTCCGTTACAGGGAGTATTATTGCTGTGGAGCTCTGTTATACACTCAGACACATTACTGGGAGTATTATCGTTGTGGGGCTCTGTTATACACTCACTGCACATTACTAGGAGTATTATTACTGTGGAGCTCTGTTATACACTCAGACACATTACTGGGAGTATTATTGCTGTGGAGCTCTGTTATACACTCAGACACATTACTGGGAGTATTATTGCTGTGGAGCTCTGTTATGCACTCAGACACGTTACTGGGAGTATTATTACTGTGGAGCTCTGTTATGCACTCAGACACGTTACTGGGAGTATTATTACTGTGGAGCTCTTTATACACTTAGACACGTTACTAAGAGTGTCACGAACGTACCCTACTCCAAGAGTGTGCGTGACGTAGCTGTGGTGGTGAAAGGGTTAAAGTTCACTATTTGTCTGCACTAGACCAGAAATAATGACAAAATCCCCCCTTTTAACACCACCGCAACTTAGACATAATAATATAACTATTACTATTTTAACGCTGCCACCACCAAGACAATTTATAAATGGAGTGCCTTGGTCCCACAAGTAAATCAATAATAAAACACAACAAATATTACTTAGCACAATATTTAAGGAAATTGCAAAAATACTAATTAGTCTCTTCAGGTACCGTGATTCTTAACCAGACAAAGGCAAAACTTAATAAATTAATGTTTATTATGAGCAACAAATAGTCAAAGTGCATTTGAAAATATATGATAAACAAATTATTTACACCAACAACAGATAAAAACAAAAAGGATAAAATACAGAAGTCCTAATTACTCACTTGGGTTTTCAGAGTACAACAGTCTCTGGCAAGGAAAGATGGTGTCTCACTTAGAATGAATTAATTAATATCACTTGTTATATACCC